AGAGCTTCAAACAACTTCTTGTCATCAGAATGATACGAAATGCTCCTCAGTGCAGGGGGCTCTTCTCCTAATGTAAACAACCTCGGCGGCAGTTCTGATATATCCATTTTAAGGCCTGCAAACAATCACAAACAACCATCTCAACCACAAAGGTAGCGCACTATTCTAAATACTATAGAAGACTAGCAGACGACTTCCACGAAGTGAGATAACTACTCAGACGACTTCCTGGAAGTCTTCTACAGAGTCTTACTCTCTGGACGACTTACATGTAAGTCGTCCAGAGAGTAAGACTTCGTAGAAGGCTTCCAAGAAGTGAGAAGACTACTCAGACGACTTCCTGGAAGTCTTCTACAGAGTCTTACTCTCTGGACGACTTACATGTAAGTCGTCCAGAGAGTAAGTCCAGAGAGTAAGTCCAGAGAGTAAGACTTCGTAGAAGGCTTCCAGGAAGTGAGAAGACTACTCAGACGACTTCCTCGAAGTCTTCTACAGAGTCTTACTCTCTGGACGACTTACATGTAAGTCGTCCAGAGAGTAAGACTTCGTAGAAGGCTTCCAGGAAGTGAGAAGACTACTATGACGACTTACAGTCGGAGAAGATTTAGACGGAGAAGATGTGGTCCCTAGCGGTTACAGATCTGCATATCGAAGGGAAAAGAAGAGTCAAGACTACAATTTTTAGAGTTTTCCGACGGCTAAACGCCTTAAAACATAAGATATAACATACCGGCGGCGAAGGAAAGGGCTACGAGATTTCAGATCTGAAAAAAAGGAAGGGGATGGTCAGTTTAAACTACGATAATACTCTAAGCCATGAAAGAAAAACAAGATTCGTCGAAATCGGAGAGATTACCGGCGAAAACGGAGAGATTCGTCGAAATCGGAGAGATTCATCAAAATCGCCTTTACAATCGTCCTTGGTGAGAAACGGCGCTAGGGTTTCGGAAAATTGTGAAAAAGTGAAAAAAAATAGCTTTTATATGTCCGGTAAAAATTCAGTTAGGTTAAAACGTAAAATGTTAAAATTAACGGTTCGGTACAATTAGACGACTGAAATTTCAGTCGTCTGGGAAATAATTTAAAGCAGACGACTGAAATTTCAGTCGTCTGGGAAATAATTTAAAGCAGACAACTGAAATTTCAGTCGTCTGAGAAATAATTTAAAGCTTAGTCGTCTAGAAAATAATTTAAAGCAGACGACTGAAATTTCAGTCGTCTGGGAAATAATTTAAAGCAGACGACTGAAATTTCAGTCGTCTAATCCCTAAACATAACCCCTAAACTTTATTCTCTAATTAAACACTTCGAAACATTAAATTAAACTTGAAAAATGTTTACTATACACATAAATAAACACATAGAGGTCAAATTAATTTTTTCAAAAAAACATTTCATCTTTTCAAAATCTAACCCTAAGATTACATACAATACTACAACATATGTTTGCCAAACCCTTAAACCAAAGAATATCATGATTCACTACTTCCACTCATCTATGCTGAAAACAAATCAATTTTATCATTTCTTAATTTATATCACTTATAAANTACAACATATGTTTGCCAAACCCTTAAACCAAAGAATATCATGATTCACTACTTCCACTCATCTATGCTGAAAACAAATCAATTTTATCATTTCTTAATTTATATCACTTATAAATGTTTATAATTACATGTTTTTAATTTTTCACTCATGAAAATATTTTTTACAGAATTTATAAATTATTTTTAAGATTCAATCGTTCAGACAACTAACATTTCAGTCGTCCAGAGGACTGAAAAGTAACTCAGCCCGACTCAGACAACTTACTGGGGTTATATTCATAAAAATGTCTTCTGTTTTTTTGTTTGGTCACAGAGGACTATATTGTAATTTCATAGCCTTTTAGGTTAAATTTGCATTTGATTCAAGTTGGGGTCTAGTATTGGCGTCTGTGGAGTTTTAGATAAATCATAAATCCAACTTTTTGTAGTCTGAAATTGGCTGAAGCTGCATTGCAAATTTGCTACGGATAGTAGCAAAACCAGATATCTGACGAGATCTACTGTCATCTTTGCTACATAAAAAAACTCAAATGAATCGAAAAAGTCCATATAATCACCGCGTCTTCAACGGACAGATAAAGATTACCAGAAGTCAACGGAGACTGGGGATTTGGGGAAGGAAGAAGAGGATCGATTTACCCTCACTTTTCAACTTAAACTACCCTCTAGTTATAAGATCAATATACCATCCACCTTGCAAATTAAACTACAGTTCAGTTTTAAATGGTTTTAATCTTTTCTACTTTTTTTTTGAACTACAATCTTTTCTACTTTCTTATGTTTGAGTTTTTACTTCGTATCAGTTTCCTTATAAGTAGTGAAGTTGTCTAGGTTGCAAGTCAATGGTAATAATTGGAACTATCCTCTTGTTTCAGCTTCTTACCCTGTAAAGTGATATATATGGCAACTGTCAAGAGTCCTAAAAGCTACAGAAACCACATTCTCGGAGGAACATCATATATAGTTTGAGAGCTGAGGAAGTCTACTAATCAAGTTTGTGTGTGTTTGAGTTCTTGGATCACAAAATTTATAAATCTACATAATGTTTTTGCCTTTTTGTTACCACTATATCAAAGGTTGTTTATGAATAAAATACCTTATATTAGTGTTGGGGCATCCACACTAATTCTACATAAATTTTATACATGTAAACTAATTGGATCTACAAACCTGAGACAAGAAATCCAAATTTGTGATGTCAAGACTAAGGATGATCTTGATTACCAAAAAAGAAAAGACTAAGGATGACCTAGAGAAGAGCAAAAAGATGGTGATCTATACATGGATGTGTCTATTTATTTACAAGGGAAACAACAAGAGAGATGGTGAATTATGCACGTGGGATATCTAGAGTGTGTGATATCCCATGGATTACAAAGTTGGAAGAAGAGAACATATCTGGAGCTACAATCCCAACTCCAGAGATCATCAAACACGGCGACGATGAGTTAACTACACTTCTTCTGGTAATTATGAGATCTTGGTAAGGATCCAGTGTCTTGAGTATGGCTTTATCAGGCAATGAAGAGAAGTCTTTGTTGGTGAGTCGTTGAGCAAGAATGTGTCGTCTCATGACATCATAGAGCAACGGAGAGGCAGATGACAGTGAGACCGGACTTGGTGTGGCTAGAATCGTTACTCCAGTCATGTTCTTGTGTTGATCAGTAACGATTCTGTTGAGAACAGAGTGCAATCCAATTGCAAATGGTACAAACCCGTTTGAACTTAGCAGCTGAATGATCCGAGTCCAGTCTAGCTTAACCGGGTCAGCTTCTTCTTCGACGACAATGGTTTTGTTTGTTTCAGATTGACATAAAGATGAATTGGGGAGATGATCCATGTGAGGCTGCAGAGTAAAGAAGGGTCCAAGAACACCGTGAATAACCAATGAATCTCCAAGAAACATGTCCGGATGTGAGATCATGACATGATTCACTTCTGCCGTTCTTGATTCTTTATCGACTGTGGAGATTTCGACGCTTTGGTGACGGAGAAGAGTAGGGAGACAGGTTCCTCGACGCTTCTCTAAGATGTCCTTCATCGGAAGCCTTAGAGGGAGGGTGTGATATTGAATAAGCTGCTTCAGAAACAGAGGAGGAAGAGATGACGTATTGAACAAGAAAGAGTCGTCAATAGCGAAGAGGGTTGTGTTGGGAGAAGAAGAAGAGAGGAAGATCTCAGGGGAGACGTGGAGGAGAGTGGCGATTGCTTTGAAGTTGGATTGACGTAAAACTTTTGAAGCGTTTAAAGAGAGAGGATGATGACGAGGAATGGGTTTGTTAGGTTTTGTAATGTCGGAATCTGGAGGTGGAGGTAGAGTGGTGGAGACGGCAATGAAAGCTAAAGCAACAGAGAGGACGAAGTAGACAAAGCAATCACACGAACAACAACCCATCTCAGAGACTTAGAGAAGAAGAAGAGAGCTCGTCAAAGAAATGTTTTCTTGGAGGGAAGTTAGGGTTTAACTGAAGAGTCCAATGCCGTGTCTTTGTGACTTTTATTAGTCAATCATTTTCGTGTTTTTTCATTTTCTTCAAGCGGTTACTTTTTGAACAAGTCAATGTATTTTTTTTTTTCCATCAACTGATTTTATTACTTTAGCTTGAACAAAAGTTATCTGCATGAAGTAAATCATGCAAATATTGGGGTACATAAAAATGAGACACAAATTCATCATCTACTTCAAACTTTCTAGCCAGACAGGCAGCAACTTTATTAGCATTTCGACTAGTCCATTGGAAGCCAATGTTGTTAAATCTTCTTGCCCACTGCCCACCACTTTATGTCTCTGATCCAATTATAGTAGCCAAAGTGCAGCCTCTTATCAGTTAAAACATCTATTGCTTTTTGACAATCACTTTCCATGATGATATTACGATAACCCAAGCTCCAACAATGTTGTAAAGCCATTAAGATTGCCTGCAATTCACTCTCCAGCGCATCATGTACTTGCTTTCCTTTTGCTTGCGCCGAGACTTTGTACACGTCATTATCATCTCGAAGTATCCAACCTGCAGTACTCTGATTTGAGGAATGATTAAACGAACCATCTGTATTACATTTTAACCAACCCCTTGGCGGTCTTTGCCACTTCATATTTCGATAAGTAGAAGCCATTCTTTCTGGATGTACGTAGATGTTACTATCCATATTTATTTCCAAACCCTCACTATGTTTCCATTCTCGAGCATCCTCTTTTGCAGAGCGTAAAATTGTTCTCCAGTTAACTCCTTTTTGTTGAAACATTAGTATGTTTCTGCTTTTCCATATCCTCCAGAGTATCCACAAAGGTAAGTCTTGAAAATGTTGTAGACGGGTAGACAATGAGCACTGTAAACAAGCTTCTATTTTCTCTTCTAGTCTTGTTGTTGTGCTGTTTTATGATTAGATTAGATACTCCTGAAGCTCTCCAAATCCTCATGGCATAAGGACAATTAAAGAATAAATGAGCTTCGGTTCAACTTCTAAGCAACATCTTTTGCATTGATCATCCAATGTGATGTGTCTCCTCTTAAGATTGCTACCCGTTGCCAAGCATTTTGATAGCACTCTCCACAAGAATTGTTTAAGCTTTTGAGGAGCTTTAGTTTTCCATATCTTTTGCTTGAGTTCTGCAGATCCATAAGTTGGAATTGGTTGGTTGTTATCTTGAAGGTGAGTGCCTAGCCAATACCCTGATTTGACTGTGTAACTGCCGTTCTCATTATAATGCATCCTAGACGATCCTGCCTTGCAAGAGGAGTAATTCTGATGGCCATAATCTTTTCTACATCTTCAGGAAACACTACTTCTCTGAGCTTTTGTTCATTCCAGTGACAACGACGTTCATCGAAGTATTCTTTCACTTTCTCCCCTACGATAAATTCTCCTATCGGCCGTGGTGATCTTGGAGGGTGGTCAGGTATCCAAGGGTCAGTCCACATGTTAACTAAAGATCCATCACCAATAATATATCTCAAACCTTTGACCATTAAATCACATCCATATAGTATGGATTTCCAGGCATATGAGGCCTTCCTTCTGATCTTAGCATTTAGTATATCCCCATCCGAGAAGTATCTTGCTCTAAGCAGACGAGCCATCAAACTATTGGGATGTTGCATAATTCTCCATACTTGTTTGCTGAGCAGAGCTTGGTTAAAAATTTCCAGGTCTTTAAACCCAAGCCCTCCTTCTCTCTTCGGTACACTAACACGATCCCAAGAGTACCAGTGAAGATCCTTTTTGTCACCTGATCCCCACCAAAATTTTGCTAGAATACCATTAATCTCTGCACATATCTCTTTTGGCAACCGAAATATGTTCATAGAGTAGATTGGCATTGCAACCGCGATAGCCTTGAGAAGTATCTCTTTTCCTCCATTTGATAGATGTCTCTGCTTCCAACTCTGAGTAACTGATCTCACTTTATCAATAATGTATGAGAACATTTCACTTTTCTTATTGCCTACATGATCAGGAAAACCAAGTACTTGCCTATAGTACTTGCCTATACCTCCATCATTATTTATTCCAAGTAAGCTACACATCTTTGTTTTGACCATATCATTAACCTTAGCTCCAAATGTTATTGATGACTTGTTGAGATTTATTGCTTGCCCTGATACTTCCTCATATGATCCAAAGATACTCTTAAGTTTCTTTGCTGTTTTCAAATTCGCCAAAGAGAAGAACAAAGAATCATCAGCAAAAAGCAAATGATTAACTGCAGGAGCATTGTTCAAAATCTTGACACCCATCAGTGATCTATCCATCATCGCCTTGTCTGAAACCTCTAGCTGGTGTAATTTTACCCTCAGGAGTACTATTAATCAACACTGAGTATTTAACCGTCGTTACACACTCCATTATCCAAAGAATCCACCTCTTATCAAAACCCATATGTTTCATTGTCTCTGCCAAGAAGCTCCATTCTAAGCGATCATACGCTTTAGTAATATCAGTTTTAACTGCCATATACGAGGTAGCTTGCCTTTTCCTAGCTTTCAGGCAGTGAAAAATCTCATGTGCCACCACTATATTATCTGAGATCATTCTTCCTGGTATAAACGCATTTTGATTCTCAGAGATAATATTATCCAGATGTTTCTTGAGCTTGTTGACCAGAACCTTTGTGATGATCTTGTAGGAGACATTGCATAGTGCAATAGGACGAAATTCTTTCATTGTGTTCGGACGGTACACCTTAGGTATAAGGCACAGGTCAGTGTGGCTCAGTCTTTGATCTAGATGCCCCGTCTCAAAGAAGTCTGAGATTTCCTTCATGATGTCATCTTTAATCTCATTCCAATAGGTATGATAAAATACAGCCGTAAAGCCATCAGGTCCTGGTGCCTTGTGTGCTCCAATATCCATAACCGCCTTATATACCTCTTCCTCAGTAATCATCCTTGTTAGGTCTTGATTCATTTCAGAAGTAACTCGTTGTTGGAACCCATCAAAAACCCGGGCATACTGAGCAGTAACCATTCCTTCTGATGTATATAAATCTTGAAAATAAGCAACTACAACCTGTGATATCTCCTTATGGCCTCTGTATATAACTCCCTGGTCATCCTGGATCGAGTTAAGAGTGTTCTTGATCCGTTTTCCTCTTGTGACTGCATGAAAATAACTTGTGTTGCGGTCTCCTGAGTGTAACTAGTTTATTCTGCTCTTTTGTTTCCAATAAATTTCCTCATCGATATAAGCTTGATTCAACTCTTCTCTGATCTCTGCTCTTTTTTGTTGAGTTATATTAGCTGTATTGACTGCTCTATCCAGCATAGCTCTCAAAGTTCCAATTCGTTCCTCAGTATTGTTGCGGTTATGTCTTTTCCAGAGAGATATTTGTTGCCTGCAACTACTTAATCTTTGGACCAAAGGTATCTGAAAGAATTGAGTCTGGCATGATCTTTTCCACCCTTTTGTAACAGTCTCAGTAAATCCTTCTCTTTTGATCATATGACTGTCAAAACGGAACAACCTATGAGTTGCCTCACTTTCTGCATTGATATAAGTTATCAAAGGTCTGTGGTCTGATTCACCAATCTCCAGGAACTCAGTTTGAGATGCAGGGAACATGTTAAACCAACTAGTATTGGCCATATTACGGTCCAAACAACACTTAACCAAATGTTTTCCTCTTTGTCCAACCCATGACAAGCGTTCACCAATAGAATGCAGATCAGTAAGCTCACAAATTCTCATCATCTGTCGAAACTCATGAAACGAATTTTCTGGCCTCAAACGTCCACCCTCTTTCTCATGGTTTCCTAATATTTCATTGAAATCTCCAAGTAGGAACCATGGCTGATTTCTTCTTGTTGTGCTCAACCGTTTTAATCTTTCCCATGTATGGTATCTTAATGCCATAACATGGTTACCATACACAAAATAAAAATTAAACACCATTCCATTGAAATCAATATTACAATCGATCATATGGGGAGACTGACTAACAACGCTTAACTGGCACAAAATGTCCGGGAGATACTTGTGACATATCTCCTTTAGGCGTCGAACTGTCGAGTCTGTACCTAAACCTCGACAGTTCCAGCAGGCTGTCCTCATGGTGGAAGAGGTGGTTCTGGGCCCACTGCGCCTCTCACCTTATTTGAGTTAATCATTTCTTCACCCTCTTCATCCTTTTCTGCACCAGACTCTGCTTCATTATTTTTCTTTCTCTTAACTCTGGTTGTGCCACTAGATTCCCCTCGACCCTCGATAGAAACACTTTGTGTTTTCATTGGTAGCTGCTAGCCAATTCTTTCTCTTGAGCCCCATTTCTCCTACAGGTTCCTTAGGAGGGTACTGCAAATTATACACTTCATCACGGTTCACGTCTTTTGAATACATCGTCGGCATTCCTTCACCACTCCACAATTGATCATCATCCGCTTCTTCTTCAAGCTCTCTGATATTATTTTCATACTCCTCTTGGACATGATCAACATGTTCCTCTTCCTCCTCCACATTCTGACCATCAGCATCTAGATCCACATTAGCTTCCGCAACGTTACCAACTTACCATCCTCATGAATCTCCTCAATAGTAACCCCCTGATTTGGCATAAGCTCCACTTCAACATCATCCTCCCCTTCACTACCACCATCATCGTCATCATCATTTTCAGCAGCCCCTCCATTCTGTATCAAACACGCTCCAGAATCATGTGTTAACATTCCACATGTTTCACAAAATCCACGCAATCTCTCGTACTGAATACGAATGAGAGTGTTGACACCGTGAGTGAACTGGAAATTTCGCTGGAACTTGAGTGGATTATTGATGTTCCAATTCAGCCGGACCCTTACAAACTCAAGCCTGTTCCCAATTTCTTCATTATAATCCATCTGGATATACTCACCAAGTTCCCGTGCAATATGAACAATAACTTGGCGATTCATGTACCGG